CCACCCATTTTCTCATGTATAAATGAGTGTCCTCCTCAAGAGGGATAGCTGTGTGAAACAACGTATATAAATTCGAAATGAAGTGTGATTGAGGGGGGCCCTGCATACATATGCTTTCAAAATCTGTGGGGCGATTCAGGGTTAAGGAAGGTTTCAAGGTATAGAAGAGGTGATGGAATTGGAGATATGTATAAATGGACTGAGATGGTAAAGATATTTTCTGTTTTCTAAGTTTTTCAAATGAAAAAATTTATGAGTGACTGGGTTAATCATATAGTATAGTTGAAATATGCCCGCCTGTGCCCAAGGTAACATTTGTGTGTAAGACAGGCTTTCGGGTATAACTGAATTATATAGAACATTAGTTATATGTGAGCAAGGTGGCACTATGTTAAAAATGTTATTGCATTCACACCAGATCTTCATTTGAAATTGCATTGGGCGTAATAGGTTTGTATGGAGTATTTGTTTAGATATATTCGGATAGGTGCCTAATAAAGAGGAGAGATGGATTGGGTATAATTGGTTTAACTCAAGATCTGTCCATCTATTGCATGGGAGCCTATTTAACCATGGGAGTGTCTGTCTTAAATGGGCTGCCAAGTAATACTTAGTAATAGCTGGTGCTCCCAAGCTGCCATTAGATCTAAGGGATAAAAGAACTGTTTTCCTTATTCTAGACCTCTTTTTATGTCAGATAAAGTTGAGAAAAAGGCATTGTATGGAGTGCAGTTGGGACTTAGGAACTTCCACAATTAGAGTCTCTCAAAGAGATAAAGTAATTTTGTGAAATAGACATTTTTTAACATCTTGATCCTACCGAAAAAAGATATGTCATATGCATTCCACTGGTGAAGGAGAGTGTGAATCTCCTGAACCAATGGGATAAAGTTAGCTTCATAAGTAGGGAATATTGAGGCATAATGTGAGTGCCTAGGCATTTAATATTGTGGACAACCCATTGGTATGCATAATTCTGCTAAAGCAGAGACTAGTGAGGTTCGGAGATATTTATCAATAGAGCTTTAGTTTTTGATATGTTGATTTTGTAACCCGATAGGTCACTAAAAGCCCATAGAGTATTATGTAAGATTGGTGGTGAGGTGTGTGGGGCTGTGAGCGTCATGAGGATGCTGTCCACAAATAGTGAAAGTTTAAACTTTTGATGTCTAATTTTAACATCTTTAATATCTGTGTTCATGTTTAAGGAGAATGACAGGCACATGGTTCAGCAGTCCATGTATATATTGTAATGAGTTCCAAAGTGGGCAGGAGTAGTCCAGTAGGCACTAAGGGCAGGCTGCGATGGAGCGAAGCAAACTCTGCAGTAGAAGAAACAAAAAACACAGCGCCTCTAAGTGTATATTGTGATAATATTTAATAAGAAGGTAAGCAGCAACTCACATCTTAGATATTAAAAACAGGCTCATAGGGAGGTGATGTACAATGTCTGTAGCCAGATGTAAGGTGACTGATCCAGAGAGGAGATAGCCTTGATCCTCCAGCAGTTAGTGCTGTATCAGGTAAGGCCCCATGTAAATGGGACGCTTATGAACGATCGAAACTGACTGCTGTAAAAACGTAGGTTAAAAAACATCTGTTTAGCTGCGTTTGCATACCACGTTTATACACGTTTATGCGCGTTTGCGTTTAGAAGCATTTTTTTAAAGATATGCACAGGAGAACCTCCCAAATGCCCAAAATGCACTGATAAGTGGTACATTATTAACTATTTCAGACTGTTTCAGAGAAATACAGAGAGTAGAAGCAGAGACAGCAGTATGTTTAGAGACAATTAGGTGTGAGTTGCTCATTAACATTTCTTTTGTTTCCAAGGGTGGGAAAGGTGTCAGGTAGAGTGAGTGTTAAGGTCACCTGGCAAGGGGTCTTCATGAGGAATTTGAGGTGTGAATGGTCATTAACTTAATTTTTGTTTCCAAGGGTGGGAGAGGTCTGAGGTGTGAATTGGTCATTGCAATTTGTGACAAGCTTGGTAGGAACATCCTGTGTTAAGTGTTTGTCCAACTGAGTACCTTGAAAATGCTTTGCATGCATTTTTCATAATGAAAAAAAAAGGGAACTGGAAGAGTTAAAAAAATTATAAATGCTTATAAACGTAATTTGCCGCTGTTAGCCGTGTTTACAAGCATTTTGCATTTGAAACGCTGATAAAATCGACTGCTGAACGCAAGTGTGTTGCATTCAAAAAAACGACTGTAAACTCAAATGCCTGTAAATGACTGTAAACGAAGATGTGTACATGGACACATAGGAAAACATTAGGGCGAGTTCAGGGGCTGCTAAAGTTTAACAGCTGCAGTGTACATGGAGCCTAAAGCATAGGTAGTGAAGCCTGGCTGAGTCTCCAAAATGTCCGGGGTTGGTCACTTTGGGCGTCTGACATCATCGGTGTGCGACGCATTTCTGAGCAAGCGCCAGATCAACATCGGCCGGCACACTCTTTCATCAGGCAAGGAGGAGCAAAGGAGTGGGAGAGCCTTAGGTAGAGCAACGGAGGCTGATGGACTGGGCTGGAGGCAGAGAAACAGAGGAAGGATCTGTGACAGAGCAGCGGAATGCTGTCTGTGACCGGGAGATACTAATCTAGCACTGACAGAGGGAAATGTATAAAAACAGACAAGGGCGCACTCTCATCGTGCATTACCGTGGTAACCCACGTATTTATTGAATAAACAAATGGATGTATACTCACAAACCAACGGAAATAAAAGCAGAAAGTGTGGTCCGCAATGACAGCGGATACAATGCTGTGCCCTTAACTTCCCTGGTGGTATTCCTGAGTGTAGCTCGGGGTAAAGTTTCAGTACCACAAGCAGTAACCCCGAGCTACACTCGGGCTTACCATGCGGCGCTTCTCCACGATCCCTTGATCACTTACCTTGTCCTGCACTCCCGCAATGTCCCTCCTGCAGTGTCCCTGGCAATGTAATCCGGCGGATGCCGGCATCTGTCATCTGGGTTCCATCCCCAGCGAGCGTCAGGACGTACGGGGGACGAAACAGTGGGAAATTTCAAAATGACAAAAAGTGACATTCACAAAAATCACATAGTAAAACACTGTATCAAATACTGTATCAAAGCATTTCACATACATTTTGTCCCTAGTGCTTTGTCCTGTGCCCTGCCTACATTTTTACTGTTCTTTCTGTCTGGAAACTGAGAAATGTCCATGGCGTCCAAAAAGTATCCCTTTAGGTCAAAATCGGTTTTAGACCAGCTAGAGAACAGCGATAGTAAATTAGAACTACTTGCAGAATTGAGTGGTAATGATTCGTGGGGAAATTCATCATCAGACACTGAAAACGATTTTGCGACTTTGCTCAGTGATGTGCAAACTTGGCGCTATATTTCAAATTTCTGTGTCTCTGGTTTGATTATATTATTGAATTAAATTTATTATATTATTATTTTTTATGATTATTTATTAAATTATAATTTATGATTTCGTGTTTCAAATTTTATCATACCCGGGATGTTTACTAGACTCTTGTTCAAACAGATTTCAGTGGGTTATTCCTAAAAATTACAGGCTTACAATAAAAAAGTGACATATTTCCATGCAAAAAAATGTACCGCTTTAAGCACAGAAATACTGACATAATCAGACCACTAGGGAGGTTAATAAGGATGAGCTGACGCGTTTCGGGAGATGACCCTCCTTCCTCAGAGCTAAATGTATGCCTGCTGGTCCCAAGTCTATATACCAGAAATGTCAAAAAGAGGGTGAAAAGATTTGTCCTCATGTATCCATTTTGTTTCCAACATTGAAACAGCTCTTCTTTTGTTGTTGCCCCTCCAACAATGCCTTATAAGATCAATTCCCACAAATTTGAGAAGTGCTGGATTCCTATGATGGTGATACCTAAAATTTTTGGACAATGTGTGATCCTTAAAACCTCTCTTAATATTGTAGACATGTTCACGCAATCGATCGCGCAATCTTCTTGTTGTTCTCCCTATATAATGTTTCATGCAGGGGCATTACAACATGTATACAACATGAGTGCTATTACAAGTGATTAACTTTTCTATTTCATAATACTTATTGGTCACATTAGATTTGAAATGACTAATTTTCCTTTTCCTAATCCCATTGCATGTACAAATTACGCAACGATTGCATGGGTAAAATCCTTTTAATCCTCCTGACAGTGTAATCCTTGTGGGTGGATTTACCACATTAAGAGCTATTTGATGCCTAAGAGTAAGGGCTTTTCGGAAAACTATTTCCGGCTGATCAGGAAGAACAATACCCAAGACAGGGTCTTGCTTTAAGATCCCCCAATTTTTCTTTAGGATTTTTGCAACATCTCTATGTTGTACTGAAAAGCCAGTTATAAAGGGGCAAATTTTTGAGGCTCTAACAGTATTCTTAGTTGTTAAAAGGTCATCCCTATTTAACATGGCAACCTCTTCAATGTTTTTTGTTGAGATTTAAGGCATCATACCCTTTCTCAATGAATCTGTTTTTCAGAATGTTGGCTTGCACATAAAAATCTTCTACCTTATTGCAATTCCTTCTCAATCTTAGAAACTGTCCTTTAGGGATGTTCCTCAGCCATGTAGGATGGTGACAGCTATCCATAGAGATGTAGCTATTACGATCCGTAGATTTGAAATAAGTTTTAGTGGTAATCCTATTGTCATTATTAATAAGTGTCAAATCCCAAAAATTAATTTTGATATAGCTATATTGATAAACTAAGGTTGATATTATATTTAGAGATGAGCGAAGTATTCAAAAATTCGATTCGACTGATTCGGCGAATTCGTGGAAAATATTTGATTCGAGTTGAATATATTCGCTGTGAATTTAACTTAAAAAAGGGTGTTTCTAGGCTTCAGAGAGACTTAATATTAGTGCAGAACACTGTACCTTTAATTTAAATGCCCTTGGAGTCTGCTGGGGAAGAGAAATAATACTGTCAGTCAGAATGACATGCAGATGAGTGCCGTCGATCTTAGAATCACCGCACACTTCACTCATTTGGCCAGTCACGGGGCCAAAACCAGTGTTTGGAGCCACAGTGTGGCGGTGGAGGCAGCAGCAATGGGAGGGCCATAGAGCAACCTATGACAAAATGGAAACCAGCAGGAGTGTGAGGAGACCTGAAAGTGGCACATGGCAAAGTGGGAGCAATGGGAGGCGGTACAGGGACCCATGTCACACTGTGGACCCAGCAGCAGCGTGACCAGGCGGTACGGGGGCCCATAGCAGATTTGGGGCCTGGCAGCACCTATGGGAGGCCTGTAATCTGCCAGCAACCTATGACAAAATGGAAAACCGCAGGAGTGTGAGGAGACCTGAATGTGGCACATGGCAGAGTGGGAGCAATGGGAGGCGGTACAGGGACCCATGTCACACTGTGGACCCAGCAGCAGCGTGACCAGGCGGTACGGGGGCCCATGGCAGATTTGGGGCCTGGCAGCACCTATGGGAGGCCTGTAATCTGCCAGCAACCTATGACAAAATGGAAAACCGCAGGAGTGTGAGGAGACCTCAAAGTGGCACATGGCAGAGTGGGAGCAATGGGAGGCCGTACAGGGACCCATGACACACTGTGGACCCAGCAGCAGCGTGACCCAGGCGGTACGGGGGCCCATTGCAGATTTGGGGCCTGGCAGCACCTATGGGAGGCCTGTAATCTGCCAGCAACCTATGACAAAATGGAAAACCGCAGGAGTGTGAGGAGACCTCAAAGTGGCACATGGCAGAGTGGGAGCTATGGGAGGCAGTACAGGGACCCATGTCACACTGTGGACCCAGCAGCAGCGTGACCAGGCGGTACGGGGGCCCATGGCAGATTTGGGGCCTGGCAGCACCTATGGGAGGCCTGTAATCTGCCAGCAACCTATGACAAAATGGAAAACCGCAGGAGTGTGAGGAGACCTGAAAGTGGCACATGGCAGAGTGGGAGCAATGGGAGGCAATACAGGGACCCATGTCACACTGTGGACCCAGCAGCAGCGTGACCAGGCGGTACGGGGGCCCATGGCAGATTTTGGGGCCTGGCAGCACCTATGGGAGGCCTGTAATCTGCCAGCAACCTATGACAAAATGGAAAACCGCAGGAGTGTGAGGAGACCTGAAAGTGGCACATGGCAGAGTGGGGAGCAATGGGAGGCGGTACAGGGACCCATGTCACACTGTGGACCCAGCAGCAGCGTGACCAGGGCGGTACGGGGGCCCATGGCAGATTTGGGGCCTGGCAGCACCTATGGGAGGCCTGTAATCTGCCAGCAACCTATGACAAAATGGAAAACCGCAGGAGTGTGAGAGACCTGAAAGTGGCACATGGCAGAGTGGGGAGCAATGGGAGGCGGTACAGGGACCCATGACACACTGTGGACCCAGCAGCAGCGTGACCAGGCGGTACGGGGGCCCATGGCAGATTTGGGGCCTGGCAGCACCTATGGGAGGCCTGTAATCTGCCAGCAACCTATGACAAAATGGAAAACCGCAGGAGTGTGAGGAGACCTGAAAGTGGCACATGGCAGAGTGGGAGCAATGGAGGGAGGCGGTACAGGGACCCATGTCACACTGTGGACCCAGCAGCAGCGTGACCAGGCGGTACGGGGGCCCATGGCAGATTTGGGGCCTGGCAGCACCTATGGGACGCCTGTAATCTGCCAGCAACCTATGACAAAATGGAAAAACCGCAGGAGTGTGAGGAGACCTCAAAGTGGCACATGGCAGAGTGGGAGCAATGGGAGGCCGTACAGGGACCCATGACACACTGTGGACCAAGCAGCAGCGTGACCAGGGCGGTACGGGGGCCCATGGCAGATTGGGGCCTGGCAGCACCTATGGGAGGCCTGTAATCTGCCAGCAACCTATGACAAAATGGAAAACCGCAGGAGTGTGAGGAGACCTCAAAGTGGGCACATGGCAGAGTGGGAGCAATGGGAGGCGGTACAGGGACCCATGTCACACTGTGGACCCAGCAGCAGCGTGACCATGCGGTACGGGGGCTCATGGCAGATTTGGGGCCTGGCAGCACCTATGGGAGGCCTGTAATCTGCCAGCAACCTATGACAAAATGGAAAACCGCAGGAGTGTGAGGAGACCTCAAAGTGGCACATGCAGAGTGGGAGCAATAAGAGGCCGTACAGGGACCCATGACACACTGTGGAACCCAGCAGCAGCGTGACCAGAGCGGTACGGGGCCCATGGCAGATTTGGGGCCTGGCAGCACCTATGGGAGGCCTGTAATCTGCCAGCAACCTATGACAAAATGGAAAACCGCAGGAGTGTGAGGGAGACCTGAAAGTGGCACATGGCAGAGTGGGAGCAATGGGAGGCGGTACAGGGACCCATGTCACACTGTGGACCCAGCAGCAGCGTGACCAGGCGCGTACGGGGGCCCATGGCAGATTTGGGGCCTGGCAGCACCTATGGGAGGCCTGTAATCTGCCAGCAACCTATGACAAAATTGAAAACCGCAGGAGTGTGAGGAGACCTCAAAGTGGCACATGGCAGAGTGGGAGCAATGGGAGGCGGTACAGGGACCCATGTCACACTGTGGACCCAGCAGCAGCGTGACCATGCGGTACGGGGGCCCATGGCAGATTTGGGGCCTGGCAGCACCTATGGGAGGCCTGTAATCTGCCAGCAACCTATGACAAAATGGAAAACCGCAGGAGTGTGAGGAGACCTCAAAGTGGCACATGGCAGAGTGGGAGCAATGGGAGGCGGTACAGGGACCCATGTCACACTGTGGACCAGCAGCAGCGTGAACCATTGCGGTACGGGGGCCCATGGCAGATTTGGGGCCTGGCAAGCACCTATGGGAGGCCTGTAATCTGCCAGCAACCTATGACAAAATGGAAAACCGCAGGAGTGTGAGGAGACCTGAAAGTGGCACATGCAGAGTGGGAGCAATGGGAGGCGGTACAGGGACCCATGTCACACTGTGGACCCAGCAGCAGCGTGACCAGGTGGTACGGGGGCCCATGGCAGATTTGGGGCCTGGCAGCACCTATGGGAGGCCTGTAATCTGCCAGCAACCTATGACAAAATGGAAAACCGCAGGAGTGTGAGGAGACCTGAAAGTGGCACATGGCAGAGTGTGGCGATGGAGACAGCAGCAATGGGGAGGCGGTACAGGGACCCATGAGACACTGTGGACCTGGCAGCAGCATGAGGAGGCGGTAATAGGGGGCCCATGGCAGATTAGGGGCCTGGCAGCAGCTATGGGAGGCCCGTAATCTGCCAGCACCCTATGTCAAAAAAATTGAACTCACCAGCAGTGTGAGGAGACTGAAAGTGGCACATGGCATGACACACTGTAGACCTGGCAGCAGCATGAGGAGGCGGTACGGGGGCCCATGGCAGATTAGGGGCCTGGCAGCAGCAATGGGAGGCGGTACAGGGACCCCATGAGACACTGTGGACCTTGCAAAAAAATTGAACAGCGTGAGGAGGCGGTACAGGGGCCCATGGCAGATTAGGGGCCTGGCAGCAGCTATGGGAGGCCCGTAATCTGCCAGCACCCTATGTCAAAAAAATTGAACACACCAGCAGTGTGAGGAGACCCTGAAAGTGGCACATGGCATGAGAGACTCTAGACCTGGCAGCAGCATGAGGAGGCGGTATAGGGCCCATGGCAGATTAGGGGCCTGGCAGCAGCTATGGGAGGCCCGTAATCTGCCAGCACCCGTTCCCTGTTCAAAAAATTGAACACACCAGCAGTGTGAGGAGACCTGAAAGTGGCACATGGCATGAGAGACTCTGGACCTGGCAGCAGCATGAGGAGGCGGTATAGGGGCCCATGGCAGATTAGGGGCCTGGCAGCAGCTATGGGAGGCCTGTAATCTGCCAGCAACCTATGACAAAATGGAAAACAGCAGGAGTGTGAGGAGACCTGAAAGTGGCACATGGCAGAGTGTGGCGATGGAGACAGCAGCAATGGGAGGCGGGGTACAGGGACCCATGAGACACTGTGGACCTGGCAGCAGCATGAGGAGGGCGGTATAGGGGCCCATGGCAGAATTAGGGGCCTGGCAGCAGCTATGGGAGGCCCGTAATCTGCCAGCACCCACTACCTATGTCAAAAAATTGAACACACCAGCAGTGTGAGGAGACCTGAAAGTGGCACATGGCATGAGAGACTCTGGACCTGGCAGCAGCATGAGGAGGCGGTATAGGGGCCCATGGCAGATTAGGGCCTGGCAGCAGCTATGGAGGCCCGTAATCTGCCAGCACCCTATGTCAAAAAATTGAACACACCAGCAGTGTGAGGAGACCTGAAAGTGGCACATGGCATGAGAGACTCTGGACCTGGCAGCAGCATGAGGAGGCGGTAAAGGGGGGGGCCATGGCAGATTAGGGGCCTGGCAGCAGCTATGGGAGGCCTGTAATCTGCCCAGCAACCTATGACAAAATGGAAAACAGCAGGAGTGTGAGGAGACCTGAAAGTGGCACATGGCAGAGTGTGGCGATGGAGACAGCAGCAATGGGAGGCCCTGGCACAGCTACAGGGACCCATGAGACACACTCTATATCTTCTACCGAATGGACCTGGCAGCAGCATGAGGAGCGGTATATAGGGGCCCATGGCAGATTAGGGGCTGGCAGCAGCTATGGGAGGCCCGTAATCTGCCAGCACCCTATGTCAAAAAATTGAACACACCAGCATTGTGAGGAGACCTGAAAGTGGCCCATGGCATGAGAGACTCTGGACCTGGCAGCAGCATGAGGAGGCGGTATAGGGGCCCCATGGCAGATTAGGGGCCTGGCAGCAGCTGGGAGGCCCGTAATCTGCCAGCACCCTATGTCAAAAAATTGAACACACCAGCAGTGTGAGGAGACCTGAAAGTGGCACATGTTTGTGGCATGATTCATGGCGGATTTAGTCAGTTGTGTCAGGAACTGGTGGTTTGAAATCCAGACTAATCCACGCCTGATTCATTTCCACAAACGTGAGTCTCTCCACACTTTGGGTGGACAGTCGTGTCCTCCGCGGAGTTACAATACCTCCTGCTGCACTAAACACGCGCTCCGATGCCACGCTACTTCTGGCCGGGCATGACAGCCTTTCAAGAGCAAATTCAGCTAGTTGCCTGGGGCCAAAGGTCAAGTTTCGTTGCCCAGTAGTCAAGGGGATTGTCTACCTCGTTGGCAGGGTGCTGTGCAAGTAGGCCCAAGCCTGTTGTTTGAGCTCCTGCTGCGCCAGGTCCACCTGATGCTGCTGCTGCTGGAGGTGGTTAGTAGTTTTCCTCACTGCGCTGGTGAAGAAAGCTACTCATCATCGACTGCAGACTGAGGCAGCCGCTGCTGGTGGAGCTGCCACTGCTCCTACCACCCCACCCCTCCCCTGCTGCCATGGCAGCGGAACGCGAGCGCACAGGGCCCATAGTGTCTGAGGATGGACGTTGGCGCAGAAAGGCAGAGACCAACTGACTACATAGGTGGTTTTTATAGTACGTAATTTTGGCCTCCCTCTCAGCAGGTGTGAAAAAGGCCACCATTTTGGAACGGTAGCGAGGGTCCAACAAGGTGGACAGCCAAAAGTCATCCCTCTGTCTGCTGATGGTTATTATTCGGCTGTCGCTACGCAAGCAACCGAGCATGCTATGGGCCATTTGTGCCAAGGAATGCGAGGGACTCCCTGCCTCCATCTCCACAGCATACTGCCACGGTGCGTCTGGGTCCTCTGTCTCCTCCTCCTCCTCTACCAGATGCTCCTGCTCCTCCACTCCTGTCCGCTGAGTGGAAAAAAAACCACCCATTTCACTCAATAATTCCTGAGCACAAATGTCCTCCTCTACCTCCTCCTCTTCTTCCTGTCCTGCCCCCACAGGGGTCATGTGGCGTTGAGATCTGTGCGCCACGTCTACCGCACCCTGACCAGCCATTGTTAACAGCATTTGTTCCAGGACGTGCAACAGAGGAATGACGTCGTTCATCCCATAGTCCTGCCGACTCACGAATAGCGTGGCCTCCTCAAAGGCCTGAGCAAGCGGCAGGTGTCACGCATGAGCTGCCAATGACTGACATCGAAGTTACACAGGGGAGTACCTTTATCCGCTTGTAACATCAGGAAATCGGTGATGGCCTTTCGCTGCTCGTAAAAGGCGGTCTAACATGTGTAGGGTTGAATTCTACCTTGTTGCAACGTCGCAAATCAGGCGATGCTGTGGAATTCCGTTCTGCCGCTGCAGCTCAAGGAGGGTGTGCTTTGCGCTGTAGGAATGGCTTAAATGCATGCAAAGTTTACGTGACATTTTAAGGATGTCTTGCAGTGGGATGGTGGATTTTAGGAACCGCTTGACAACCAGATTGAACACGTGAGCCATGCATGGCGCATGGCACAACCTTCCTTGACGCAGAGCAGACACCATGTTCTTTCCGTTGTCGGTCAACATGGTTCCGATTTTCAGTTTGCGCGGAGACAGCCATCTGTCGATTTCTCTGTTCATTACACTCAGAAGTTCCTCCCCTGTGTGACTACGTTCGCCAAGGCATACCAGGTGCAGCACAGCGTGACACCGTTGCGCCCTGCACATGTGATATGCCGGTCGGGTAATGGGACTTGGCACGGGGGTGGCGGCTGAGGACACGGCGGAAGAAGAGGTGGTAGAGGCGGACATGTTTGCTGGACCAAGGATGTGCAAACGTGGAGGCAAAAGCGTCGTGACCTGTCCAAGTTGCTGGTGCGGCTGTGCCGGCACCACGTTCACCCAGTGGGCCGTAAATGACATGTACTGTCCCTGACCGTAGTTACAGCTCCACACGTCGGCGCTGCCGTGCACTTTGGGCAGAGACCGACATGCTCAAAGACTGGCCCACCATCTCTTCTACATGTGAATGCAGGGCTGGCACTGCCTTTTTGGCGAAGAAATGACGGCTTGGCACTCTCCACCGCGGCGCGGCACAAGCCATCATTTCTCAGAAAGGTGCTGAGTCCACCAGTTGGAAAGGGAGGGACTGCAGCACCAGCAACTTGGACAGGAGGACGTTCAGCTTTTGCACCGTCGGGTGCGTGCTCGCAAACTGTTGTCTCTTGGAAACGGATTCCAAGAAAGACTGCTGACGGAATCCGAGAAGAGGAGTAGCAGGAGAAGGAGCATCTGAACGAGCGGAAGATGCCAACGAGCGACAACTCCCCTCAGCAGAGGTGTTGGAGCCTTGACTGGCTGATAGAGGGCGATTGACGTCGGGTGACGGAGCAAGTAACGGAGCGGGTGATGGAGCGGGGGCTGGGGCAGGCAGAACCGCCGTATCTTTATCACGGTTTTCCCAGGCCACCGAATGGCGACGCTGCATATGCTGACGCAACGCTGTAGTCCCAACATGGGCCCCCCTGGCCACGCTTGACTTTCTGGCCACATAGTCGACATACGGCTACGTTTACTTCCTCGGGCGGCTTGACGAAAAATTGCCACACCACCGAGTAGGAAACTTTGCCCCCGCTACTCCTCACTGGCTGACTGCTACTTCCTCCGTGCACACCGGCACCACTACTGGCCGTGGTGGTAGGCTGCAGTGGAGCTGGTGCTCTACTCCGTGGCCGTTTGGCTCCACTGACACTGCTGCGACCCTGCTGCCTCCTGGGCAACCCACCGACTGTTTCGCTCGCTGCCAAGCTGGCACCCTCTTCTCCTGATGATGCAGAAGAAATTGCCTGATGACGACGAGGCTGCCAAGTGCGATCAACCTCCTCATCATCAAGTAGGGTCTCCGCCTCACTACTAGCCCCCTCGGCTGCGTCTGGGTCAGGAGACAGACCTGTCTCTAGACCGGCTACCGAGCCACTCTCCTCGCCAGTACTTCTTCGCCTGGCTGCTGAAAAGGCGGATGTCTCCCCCCCGTTCCTGACCGCCCTCTGTTAGCTCTTCCTCACTGTACAGTGGGGCTGAGCCCACAGCATGCGATACTTCGCTTGGTGAGGGAACACCAAAGGACAGGGGCAGGTAGAGGACACGTGATTTCAGTGGGCTTGCTCCCGGGCCATGCCAACTAACGGTTGTGTCTGACGTACCCACCGACCGTTGGCTGTAGGTGTCAGAGGTGACCTGGGAAGAGGAAGACGACCGAGCCAACCAATCGATGATGGCAGGGTTGTCGGTGGAGACACGACCGCTGGATGACACCGGGAGCACTGGCCTCTGGCTGCGACTAGTGCTGCCTCGACCCCTTCCTCTGCTGCCACGTCTGCTCGCTCCTAAAACATTGCCTCCTCTGCCACTCCTCTGCATGTTGTCTGACATACTCTTTAATTCAACTATTCTGTGTCCCTGAGTAACAATTCTGTGTCCCTGAGTAACACAATCTGTGTCTGTCCCTGAGTAACAATTCTGTGGCCCTGAGTAACAATTCTGTGTCCCTCAGTAACAATTCTGTGTCCCTCAGTAACAATTCTGTGGCCCTAAGTAACGGTTCTGTGGCCCTCAGTAACAATTCTGTGGCCCTCAGTAACAATTCTGTGTCTGTCCCTGAGTAACAATTCTGTGGCCCCTAACTAACGTTTTTTCTGTGGCCCTAAGTAACAATTCTGTGCCCCTCAGTAACAATTCTGTGTCCCTCAGTAACAATTCTGTGTCTGTCCCTGAGTAACAATTCTGTGGCCCTAAGTAACAATTCTGTGGCCCTCAGTAACAATTCTGTGTCCCTCAGTAACAATTTCTGTGGCCCTAGTAACGGTTCTGTGGCCCTCAGTAACAATTCTGTGTCCCTGAGTAACAATTCTATGTCTGTCCCTGAGTAACAATTCTGTGTCTGTCCCTGAGTAACAATTCTGTGGCCCTAAGTAACGGTTCTGTGGCCCTCAGTAACAATTCTGTGTCCCTGAGTAACAATTCTGTGGCCCTAGTAACGGTTCTGTGGCCCTCAGTAACAATTCTGTGTCCCTCAGTAACAATTCTGTGTCTGTCCCTGAGTAACAATTCTGTGGCCCTAAGTAACGGTTCTGTGGCCCTCAGTAACAATTCTGTGTCCCTGAGTAACGTTTCTGTGGCCCTAAGTAACGGTTCTGTGGCCCTCAGTAACAATTCTGTGTCCCTGAGTAACAATTCTGTGTCTGTCCCTGAGTAACAATTCTGTGGCCCTAAGTAACGGTTCTGTGGCCCTAAGTAACAATTCTGTGTCCCTGAGTAACAATTTGTTCTGTGGCCCTAAGTAACAATTCTGTGGCCCTCAGTAACAATTCTGTGGCCCTCAGTAACAATTCTGTGTCCCTGAGTAACAATTCTGTCTGTCCCTGAGTAACAATTCTGTGGCCCTAAGTAACGGTTCTGTGGCCCTCAGTAACAATTCTGTGTCCCTGAGTAACAATTCTGTGGCCCTAAGTAACGGTTCTGTGGCCCTCAGTAACAATTCTGTGTCCCTCAGTAACAATTCTGTGTCTGTCCCTGAGTAACAATTCTGTGGCCCTAAGTAACGGTTTCTGTGGCCCTCAGTAACAATTCTGTGTCCCTGAGTAACAATTCTGTGGCCCTAAGTAACGGTTCTGTGGCCCTCAGTAACAATTCTGTGTCCCTGAGTAACAATTCTGTGTCTGTCCCTGAGTAACAATTCTGTGGCCCTAAGTAACGGTTCTGTGGCCCTCAGTAACAATTCTGTGTCCCTGAGTAACAATTCTGTGTCCCTAAGTAACGGTTTCTGTGGCCCTCAGTAACAATTCTGTGGCCCTCAGTAACAATTCTGTGTCCCTGAATAACAATTCTGTGTCCCCTGAGTAACAATTCTGTGGCCCTAAGTAACGGTTCTGTGGCCC